ACTAATATTCGTCGAAACTTAGTTTACTCTAATAGAGTCTTAATTTAATCTATTCTTTTAATATTAAACTTCGCTATAAGAAAGAAGAAAGAAAGATTTAAAATAAAATAGAGAGAAGTTTAAATACTTTAAAAGAATAAATATTAGAGATATTAGATATACTAGAGAATAATAAAGCCTCTTTAAGACGTATCGAAATTATTCGATATTAAGAATAAAAAATTTCACTATAAAGTCTAAGATAAGGTTATTTCTTTACGAGGATTTAATATACTTATTTCTTAATTATTTAAGACGTTAAGAAGACTATAAGTATCTTAAATAGTAGTTTCTTAAGTATACTTACTTCGCTTAGAGGATTCCTTATCTCGTAGAGAAGTTATATATAAAAAAGTTTTAAAGAATAGTATCTTTAATTAGCTATAACTCGATCGTTTCTTATCTAATTAAGACTTTATTAAAATTCTAGATATTATAATATATAAAGTTATAGTAATACTACTAATATATATTTTAAATATAGAAATATAAGATAATATTAACTATTTCTTTCGATTCGCTAGCCGTATAAATAGTTTAATACCTTCTTTATCCCTCGACTATTATTTACTAAAACTATTTCGCTATTTCTTTTAAACTCTTTAAAATCGATTTATCTATTTAATAAGCTTATCTAGAAATATAATAACTTAACTTAATTTCTTACTAAAGCCCTTATTAACGCGTTTCTTTAAATTCGTTCGCTAATATAAATAAAATAAATAGATTAATCTTAGTTATAGTATTAGAACTAATATAGATATAATATTAATATAAATATATTAAATAAGATAACTAAGGTATCGAACTATATAAGTGAAAAGAAGATATAATATAATAGAGGATATCTTCGCTAAGGCCCGCTAGTTATAGAGCTAAGAGATATATTAAAAATACGCTCGTAATAGTAACGATTAATCTATTCGAATTTTAATTTTTTCTAAAGCTTTATTTTAAATAAGTTTTAATTATAGAAAATAATATTATATTTATTATTCTATTACTTTTAATCTAATTAATTTACTAAAAATAGATATCTATTAATTATTATTTTAATTTATTATTATAATATAAGTAAAGATCTATAAATTAAATTTATAGAGTTAAATTTTTCTAAGTTAAATCGAATTTTAATCTTAATTTTAAGTTAAATTAAACTTTAATCGCTTACTATACGTTTTTAATCTACTTTTATTATTATAAAATTAATTTAATCTATATAGTATATAGATATATATATATAAAGAGAGGCGCGCTAAGATTTAATTAGGAAGGTATATTAAATATAAAGAATTAATTTATAATTATTATTTATAAAAAATAGAGAAAGGTTATATTCTTATAATAAGAAGTATCGAAATATTAAAAAGAAATAGAGATAATATATTAATTAGTAATATAAATCTTATATTATCTTTTATTATAGTAAAATCTTTTAAATAATAAGATAGCTATTAAAGTAAGATATCGAACGATTTTAATTTATCTAAATATATATTATTTAATATTTCTTTTAAAGAGATTTAATTAATTATAATTATCGTAATAAATTCTTCTCTTATAATATTATTATAGTAATATATTATATTAATATAATAGAAATAATAAATTAAATTATAATAATATCTTTCGCTTATTAAATAAAAATTTAATATAAAATTATAAAGAGTATATAACGTGAGATCTTAAAGATTTAAGTCGTATTCTTAATAATAGTAATCTTATTACCGCTTAATTTCTTCGTAGTATTCTTCGTAGTGTTCTCTATAGTATTCTACGTAATATTCTTCGCATTTATCTATTATAGTTTCTTCTCTTATTTCTTCTTTTATAGAGTATTAGACTAAGTAATTAGCTAAGTAATTAACTAAGTAAATAATTAAATAACTAATTAACGATTTAATTAAGTAAATTATTAAGTTAATAGAGTAGATAGTATTAATTAAACGATTAATTAAGTATCGCTAATTTAAAAGAAATATATAAAGAAAGACGATAGCTATAAATTCATTTAAGCTCTTTTTAAAAGTTTTTTAATATATTTATAAGTAATGGTAGATAGCTATTAAGCTCGCTTACGGTCTTAATTATTAATAATAGCGAATTTATTAAGAGATAATCTAGAGATATTAATAAGAAATTTAAAAGATAAGTGAAAGAAATATATATCTTAGATATTTAATAACGAATATATTTATAATTAATAGATTAATAGAAATATAGAAGAAATATAATTAAAATAGAATAATAAAGAATAAATTAAGAAGAAAGGCGCGTTTTAGAAGATAATATTGCTAAGTTAAAAGGCATTATCGCTAACTTAAAAGAAGTATATAGAGGAGAATAATGGCTATAAATCCGTTCGGGCTTTTTTTAAGAATCTTTTAACGCGTTTATAAGTAGTAGTAAATAGCTATTAAACTCGCTTACGGTCTTAATTATTAGTAGTAATAAATTTATTAAAAAATAATCTAAGAACGTTAATAGAGGCTCTAAGAGGCGAATAAAAGAAATATATATATCTAAAGCGTTTAATAACGTTTCCGCGAGAGATATTAAAAACGATTATATTTATATTAGTAAATTAATAGAATAATAAAAGAAGAATAATTATATAAATAGATAAAAGAATTATTATTCGATCTCGAACGCGTCTAATATAACTATTATAACTATTATATTTAAATATTTATTTAATTTATTAATAGTAGATTAACTTTATAATTTTTATATCGTTAGAAAGTATAAACTAAGCTCTATAATTTACGAAATTATAAAGTAATAGTATTCGTAGAGAACTAATTATTTTAGAGTGTAAAACTTTTATATATAAATTTTTAATAAGGGAGCTTAAGAGAGCTAGCGGGTTAACTTAGTCGATCTAACTAAAGAGTGTAATAATTCTAAATTTATAATTAACTATATATATAAATTTAAGATTTTTTAAATTAATCTTATCTTATTCTATTATATATTAAAATAAGATAATTATTTATTATTGTTAAATTAAAAGTAAAAATTAATTAAGTAATAGAATATTAAAAGATATATTATTAATATAAATATTTTTATTATAATAATTCTCTTCTATTATTAAATTAAGAAAAAAAGTTTATTAACGTATTAAAGTAATAGAGAGAATACTCTTAATAGATATATTATTACTCGATAGTTATTATTATTTCGAGATATAAATTTAATATAAAGATAAATAAAATCTTTATATTTATATATTTATTAAGAGTCTTAATACTTTTATATTATAAAAATCTTAATTAAAAAAATTAACTTTAAAGTAAAGATATCTTAATTACGAAGAGTTATACTTTTTATAATATTATTATTTAGAAATATATAAAACTAATTTTAAAAAGTAGATTCTATATTAAATATATTTTATAAACTCTATAAAAGAATAATTATTATTATTAAACTAATATATATATTAATATATATAAAAGAATAAGATAAAGCTAAATTAGAAAATCTAGAATTTATATATATAGTTAATTATAAATTCGAGTTCGCTACGCTCTTTAATTAGATCGATTAAATTATTATAAATAAATAAATTAACGTTCGTAATTATTAAAATCTCTCTCTTCTACGCCTCTCTTATTAAAAAAATAGATATATATTATTAATATATAGAATAACTTTTTTATTTTCTATTAAAACTTTAAGATTTTTTTTTAAATTTTAAAACGCTATTTATACTTTTCGAATTTTTACGAATTTAAAAATTTAATCTTATAATTATTAAAGTGTAAGAAATTTAAATATCGCTTATTAAAGTTCGCTCGATAGTTAAATAGTCTTAATTAGATATATATTATTTAATTTTAAAATAATATTTTTATTTTCTATTAAGATTTTAAGATTTTCTTTTTAAATTATAAAATAAAAAAAAGACTTTTAGAGAAAAAAGTTATTAAATTTAATTTAATAATTATTAAAGTATAAGAAATTCAAATCTCGCTTATTAAAGTTCGCTTATTAAAGATCGCTTATCTACTTACCCGATAGTCTTAATTAAAAAAAAAATTAAAAATTTAATTTATAGACCTTTACTCGTATATCGAGAAAAAAAGAAAAATTTTTATTTTCGAAATACGAGATATAATTTAATCGAGATTACTTAATATTAATATTTATTATTATATATTTTTAAAATAAGCTTATAAAAGAGAAGATAGATATTTAAATCTTTTTAATTATATTAAATTAATATATTCTCTTATATTTTAATTTTAATTTAAATATAATTATTAATTTATCTTTTATATTTAAATTCTTTAATATCTCTTAAATACGTAATTTACTTAAGTACGCTATTAATATTATTTTTATAATAATATTTACTAGATTACTATTATCGTTATTAATTTTATTCTTATCTTACTTTATATTCTTATTTATTATATAAAATATTATCTTCTATAATATCTTTCTCTTAAAATCTTTTAACTTTATTATATTTTAAATATAATAGCGATTTTTATATTATACTTAATAGTAATAGATTTATAGTCGAAAGTATATATAGTTAAATCTTATCATCTATAAATTATAACTCTATTATATAAAATAATCGATTACTATAGTAAATCAAAGTCTTAACTCTTATTAAAAAGAATAGTTACAATAGTTTACTACTTATCAAGCTCTGAATTAAAGGGTGAAGTGATAGAATATTTAATTCGATGAACGAACTTCAATCACTGAATCTCCTTAGTGGGCAATCAATGTAGAGATAGACATCCATCAAACAGCGCTTATACGGCGATCTTTCGACGATGTATATCGAAGCGCATGTCGAAGTGCAGTCCAGCACTGTTGAAAATATGGAAGAAGTATTGATTAATTAGCTATGGAGTGGTGTGTAGACTACTGAAAACCCATGTGAAACTCATTGCAAGACCATGAGTCATAGGCTAGCTACAACATATTTCATGGAGTCGCTACTGGATTTCTTGCCTCAAGCCGGCAAAATCAGCGTCGTTTAGTATCTTCTTTCTCTTCTCTTCATCCGCTCGCTGCTTCTTCCGCTGGCTAGACGAGCTCGCCTGACCTATCACTCTATCAATAGCGGCAGTGCGCATGCGCTTGGGAGGAGTCCCGATTACCCTTGGCGATGGTGGAGCGGCCGGCACACCGGGAAATTCGGACGACTCGAAGTCCAACATGAACACTCGACTCCGCTCGGTATTCCACAGCATATTTCCTTTTCGCACATCACCATGCTGGAGGCCATTGATTTGAAGCTTCTTCAGGGTCGCTTCGGCGCTGGAGCGTAGTTCTTCGGGTTGGAGGGATGGGCCCTCTGAAGATAATAAGTCGGGTCCAGAGTAGGACAGCAGGAGGAGGTGGGTAAGAATATCAGGAAAGGGGAGAACATAGGGAGTCTCTAGCTCGATGAGCCCGAGGCAGACAGGGATGAATTCTGCCTGTAGCTGACGCAGCTTCCCATAGATAGCATACTCGCGAGTGAGCGAACGGAGGTGATCTTCTCTAACGGCTTTTGCGACAAAAGTGTAGCCGTATGAGCAGAGGGTGACGCGGAAGAGATGCCCGATACCACCTCGAATTTTCAGATGGTCCATAGCGTGATCGCGGCTCCTGCGCAGCTGATGACGCAGCAAGTCGCACAGGGTCTCGGCCGACAGCTCGTGATCCGGCGACGATAAAGAGTGTCGGTCCACATTGGGACATGTCCGATCTAGCGCTCGTGAAAGGCCTGATGCGGTGCTATTTGTCAGCCGCTGAAGGCAGACTTGAGTACAGTATGGTTGACCCGATTCAGAAGCAGGACAGAAGACGCAACAGGCATGAGGAGGGCAGGGCTCATCGGTTTTCTGGTCGCTCAAAAAAGAGTGCCCTGCATTTTGTCGACGACGATCACTCGACGTCGTCGACGGTGAAGTCGTACTATGCTGGGCTTCAGATTCTGTAGCCTTTGCGTGGAGTCGAACTCCCGGTTGCTGTCGGTTCAGCGAAGAGTCATCGTTGTCGCCATCGTCCTCCGAGTCATGTTCTCCGTGGTGCAATAATAGATCTCTCTCGTGGCGGTTCGCGCGTTTGCGTTTTTTCGGTGCATTCCGCGCTGGTTCATAGTCGTCCTCGCTGGGTGTTATAACTTCGGAGGCGCTCGAGTCCTGCGAGGCTAACATGTCCAACTGGGCTTCAGGATCTACCTCAAACCGAGAATTACTGGCACGAGCTTCTGCTATCCAATTCTGATCAAACTTCTCAACCGTGAGACAGCGACAGAGAAACAAAGCAATTTGGCACACCGCCGTGCTCCTGGCGTCTGCGATGACCTCTCTAGGAGAAACGTCGAGGCTGTAATAAAGGACTGTTGACTCCGTGCGGCGGATCCGGAAAAAAACTCGTGCCATTCCGGTGTCGACGTAGGCAAACTCTGTGCCACTGCTGATCATTTCATCGAAGACCTGCGTAAAAACAGCGAGGACGGTGTATAAGGGGTCGTTCCGAGCGTGTGGTGATTGGATGATTGGTTGAGACTCGAAGCTCTTCCGAGCTTTGCCATTACCGTCATCTAATGCAGTCCTGAGGGCCCCCGTCGTCAGCTTATGCGGAGGTTTCAACTCAGCCAGGGCGATCGGCCGATCCGATCCAGGTCCACCTCGATTCCACACACCGTCCACGGGGACAAACACTTTCCCGGCCGCCGATTCCGGATCACCACCAGGTGTATAGCGCACGCCGAGGCTACTCTGTTCGCCACCGCCTCCGCTTTGGATATATTGACAGACTATTTCTTTGACAGGTGGAATCTCCGCCGCCCTGACATATGTAGTGATGGCCTCTTTCGAGGTGATCAGAAATGAAGAGACGGTTCCGCGAGCACCGATGAGGTTTGCCTTATCGGGAAAGAGTTCTCGATTTCCAAGCTTCTCGCATAGCTCCTGATACGAACGGCGCTGTAGATCTTCAAATTCAGTCCAAGGCTCAACGGTGGTGGGAGTGAGACGTTTCAGCGGGCTGGTAACGCCACCTCTCGTATTCCTTGAAGACATCGGCTCGCAATGGAGCGGGTATGCAAAGTACTCTTGATACAGAGCCAGATACTCTGCTAAGCTTGTGTTGCCTGTGGAGGCATGTTCTTTCTCTTTGGCGGCAAGGGCAGCAGCTTTGGCGGCATGTTCTTTCTCTTCGGCGGCAAGGGCATTAGCTTGGCGGCAAGTTCTTTCTCTTCGGCGGCAAGGGCATTACCTCTAGCGACCTCGAGTTGAGCTCGTAGATCTGCAATAGTGGCACTATCATCAGACATGCTGAAGAAAGAATAGGAGGCGGGAAGTGAGTGAGGGTAGACAGCAGTCACGATTTGTCAAGTTAAGTGATAAAGAGAAAATTCTCTGCAGAGTTTGCTGCTCGGCATGGAAAAACTATTCAGCGAGTCGCATGCAAGGAATGCCGGCCATGCCAAGGCGCTACTCATTTCCACTCCCATATACACGATTATGCTATTTAATTACATATCGCGAGTAAATAAATTAACGTTCGTAAATAATCTCGAATTTTATTAAACTTATTATTATTTAACTATTTAAGCTTATATTAAGAGAGTATTTTTAATAGAATAAATAAGTTTTTAATAAGCGATATTTAAATTTTATATATTTAAAGAAGTTTAAGCTTATAAATTAAATTTATAAAAACTAATTAATTTTTAAATCTAATTTCGAAATTAAATTCGACTCTCGAAGAGTAAAAATATTTTAATTTAAGATTTACTTAGAACTATAAGATCGAATTTAAATAATCTTAAATTATTTAAAAGCGTAAATTTTATTCTATAATTTAAAAAAGAAATTAAAAGATTTTAATAGAAAAAAGAGAAGTTATATTAATAATAAGTTTAAAGAGAGTTAATTAACTTTAAATTAATTTAAATTTAATTAATAAGAGATTTAATTTAATATTTATTATTCTTTATTTCTATTAATAGTTCTTATTTTTATTTTTATAATTTTTATTATTTTTACGATTTTTATAATTTTACGAATTTACGAATTTTTAGCGAGGGAGATTTATATATTTAAATCGAGGACGAAGAAAAATAGTTTCGAAATTTATCGAAGTTATTATTATTCGACTATCTAAGCTTATATGAAAGAGTATTTTTAATAAAGTAAATAAGTATAGAAGTAAAAGTACTTAGAGTTTACTAATAAATCTTACTTACGTTACTTATTAGATTACAAGCTATATAGCTAAAATAAGTCTTTAATATATTTAATAAAAATCTTAGATACTCGTAAGTTCTCTTTTCTTCTTTTCTTTTTTTAGTTATTCATTTATTTAATATATAATTTATCTATTCTTATAATTATATTTCTAGATCTTACAATTATATAACTATTACGTAATTCTATTAAAAAGAAATCTTATTATTTTATAATTTTAATAACTTTATCTATATAGAGTTATTTAATTAAATATAATAAGTAATTTATAAATTAATTCTATTAACTTACGAAGTAAAAACGTTTTATTATAATCTATTAATAATATTTTTAATCTAATAAATAACTTTTATTAAAATATATTTATTATATAATTAAGTAGTTATAATATTAATATTAATATTAATAAAAATTCTAATAATTTTATTAATAAAAATAAAAATTATTAAAATCTTATATTTAATAACTCTTTACTATTAAATAAAGATTTTTATCTTATAAACTTAATTTAAATTTAATACTATTAATTTTTAGAATTTAATATTAAAAAATAATTAATTATCGAAAAATTTAAGTTAATTAAAATATAAAGTATATAATAATTATTATTATCGCGATTTAAATTATAAGAAAATAAATATTATTAAAATATCTAATATATAATATCTTAATAATTATAACTCGATAATTAAATTTCTTTAAAACTATAATAATTTCATTACCTTAATACTTTATATTAACTTTTATATAAATAAATAAAAACTCGCTAATCTTCTATTCTCTTAATCGATATTAAAAGATAAATTTAAAAAAATACTAGAGATATAATGTTACGCGAAATTAAGAAATTTATCTAAATAAAATATTAAGAGTAATAATTAAATTAAATTTATAATCTAGTAATTAAATCTTATAATATAAATTATTAATTATAAGAGATATATAATTAATAGTTAACTTTAATACTTATCTTATTATACTTTAATTATAATAAAATCGCTATATAATTAATTTAGAATATAGAAGAATCTTATAAAATAGAGTAATAAAGAAAATTTCTCTAAAAGTAATAAAGAGAATTATATAATTTATTATTAATATATATAAAAGAATAAGATAGAGTTAAATTAGAAAATCTTAAATTTATATATATAGCTAATTATAAATTTAGAGTTATTATACTCTTTAATTAAATCGACTAAATTAGCTCGCTAGCTCTCTCGAGATCTCTTATTAAAAAAATAGATATACGTTATTTATAATAGAAATAACTTTTTTATTTTCTATTAAAATTTTAAACTTATCTTTTCAAATTTTAAAGCGCTATTTACGCTTTTCGAATTTTTAGAAATTTTCAAATTTAATCTTATAATTATTAAAGCGTAAGGAATTCAAATATCGCTTATTAGAGTTCGCTCGACAGTCGAATAGCTTCAATCAAAAAATAGATATATATTATTTAATTTTAAAATAACTTTTTTATTTTCTATTTAAATTTTAGAATTTCTTTAAATTATAAAATAAAATATAGGCTTTTAGATAGAAAAAGAATTTTTGAATATAGTTCTATAATTATTAAAGCGTAAGAAATTCAAATATCACTTATTAAAGTTTACTTATTAAAGATCGCTCGCCTATTTACTCGATAGTTCTAATTAAAAAAAAAATTATAAATTTAATTTATAGATCTTTACTCTTCTATATTCTATTATTATAATAATATTAAAATATAAAATAAAGATTATAAATAATAAAAGAGCTCTTTACTCTAAATAAGACTCGCTTTAATAATAAGAAAAATAATTAAAAGAGTAATAATTAATAATATATAAGGTTTAAGAAATAATATATAAATAATTAGTAGAATTAAAAGTAGAGTTTATTCTCTATAATGTTATAAAATTAAAAGTTTATATAAATTAAACTTAAAGATAGCGACTCTTATATTAAGTATAAAACGCTTTTTATTAAAATATAATATTATAATTATAAATAGCTAGAATATTATAAGAATTCTTTTAAATATTTAAATTACGTTATAAATAATAATATATATAGTTATAGCTTTAATAAAAGAAAAAATAAAGTATAATACTTATTAATATAGTATTAAATATATTACTAAATGAATAATAATCTTATTTTTTATTATTAAAGGATAAAATTATTATATTAAATAAGAAATATAAAATAACTATTTTAATAAATATTAATAGCGAGAAAATCTTAATATCGTAATCTTTTATTAAAAAGATAGTTTTTTTAAATTCACATACGTATTAATACTAGTATATATTATTAATAGTTATTAAGTATTCTTATATAAAAAGTATAATCTAGTTTTTAATTTTATAAATAATAAAAAAAGAAAGTAAGAGTAAATTTTAAAGATATTTATTATAAATAAATAAGATTATAACTTTATTCTTAATTTTTCTTAAATTTATAATATCGATTTAGATATTTATTAATATAGATAGTTTTAGACTTATCGCGATTTTTTTATAAGCGATAAAAAATAACTAAAAATCGTAGAAATAAATATAAAGTAATTTACGTTATTAATTAATATAGTAATTATATATAATCTAGAATAAATATTTATTATATTTTTATATTAAATTTAATTTAAAAGTAATAAAGATAATTATAATAAAGTTATTCGATAACCGCCTAGATCGAGATAATAAATTAGCGTAGTTTTTCTCCGCGTCTTAACTACGCGACTTTTTTTATTCTTTATAATAACTTTATTATATTAAGTTTAATATAGCTAAAATTACTACTCTATTTACTTCTAATAAGAAAGAATTAAATTAAATTATAAAATATTAGAAAAGAGACGTCTAGATTAATATAAGAAAGGAGAGACTTAAATAGCGTAATATTCTTCTTTAAAGTATATCTCTACTATTAGAGTATTAGCTAATAAAAATTAAGTATTATATAACTATTAATTATTTTTTAAGCGATATAGAAATTACTTTATATATCGTATTTAGTCTTATATAAATTACTACTATCTAAGATATACTTTATAAAAATATTAATTTATATATCTCTCTATAGAGTACTTTAGATTCTATTTAAAAGTCTATCGATATTTCGAAGCTAAAAATCTTCGTCGCTATTATAATCTATATAGAAATCTTTTATTTTTCTACTATTTATAATTATTAAAGAACTAATAAAATTACTTCGGTGACTTTATTAATTATTAAAAATATAACTCGAAATCGCTATATTCTTCTTCGAAAATTTATTTATTACTTAGATTCTATTAAAGAGAACTTTAGAATTATTAAAATAGATAGATATAAATAGTCTATATAGTATAAAAAGCTTTAGTTATTTATGAGTAAGATATAAAGTAATTAAAAGAAGCTTTATATCTTAAGTTTTTATATTGTAATTAATAAATATATAATTAAGAAGATAGAATATATATATTATTTTATAATAGCTTTAGATAAGCTAATTAAGAAGGAATATAAGCTATTCGTAATTAATGATAAGAGCTATCTTTATAATTATATCTAGTATTCTTCTATATATAGAATCTTAAAAATAAGTTAAAAATTAAGAATTTTAGAGATATATTAGCTATAGTATTTAAATTAACTATTAATATATTATCTTATAACTCTATTCTCTTTATAAATAACTATTTTATCGAATTTAAGCTAATTATAACTTTAAAAGATAGAGAAATTATAATATATAAAATTATAAAGCTAAATTAATTAAATCTTCTAAAATTACTTATAGAGATAAAATAAGTCTTTATAAGAGATATTTCGTATAGGGTTCTCGCTATAATAATTTAGAATAATATATTAATAATAGTTTAATAAGATAATAATCTTATTCTAGCTCTAATTACTATATATAATATAAAAGAGATTAATAACTTTATCTCTAAAAAGAGAAAATATTTTAATAAGATTAATATAAATAGTCGTATAGTTCTATCTACTTTTAAAGAGAATAATTAGAATATATAAGAGAAGAAGTTTTAAGTTTTTAAGTTTTTTTATTACTATAATAAATATATAGAAAAAATTAATTAATTTAATACTCTAGT